TTTGAAATAAAAAACTCGTAGACTTAAAGACATTCTTATAATGGATAGGTCTGGAATGAGGAGGGATTTTGAGCATTTGTCCCTACATATGGTATATTCTAACCTGAAAACTCTGCTCATACCTTATCCATCACTATGGACCAAATCACTAATAATATTGCGGAAGGAATATTGTTCAACAGGAACCTTTGAAATCCCTTTCCAGAGTAGAAGTAGATGATAGAATAGCTCCAGATTAACTCTAGCTAAACAACTGTTGCTCCTGGATAAAAATCCGTGGAAGTAAAACAAAATATAACTAAGATCTGACAAAATGCTACCTGGTCACATTTAATATACTCTATGACTATCTCATCCTACAACTCACAGCAGCCCTGTGCACAATAGCTCTAAATCCTGTCTTGTCCTAAACTAATCTCATTGTCTCTGACACAATTGCTCTCAATAATCCCAGTTACTTTGTCAATCCATCTCATCCAGGGTCTTCCTTGCCTCTGGTGGCCTAGTGGTAAAAAGCTGTACTGAGATGTTAAAGGTTGTTGTTATGTGCTGTCGAGTCGTTTGCGACTCATAACGACCCTATGTACAACAGCCCTAAACCCTGCTCTATCCTGTGCCAATCTCATTGCCTCTGACACACCCATCCCGAGTACCCCAGTCACTGAATCAATCCACCTCATAGAGGGTCTTCCCCTCCTGCGCTGTCCCTCTACTCTACCCAACATGATGTCCCTCTCTAAAGACCTGTCTCTCCTTACAACACGTCCAAAGTATGTCAGACAAAGCCCCAGAATCCTTGCCTCCAAGGAGCAGCCTGGTTTAATCCTCTCTATGATGAATCTGTTTGTTTTCTTGGCAGTCCATGGTACATTCAATACTCTTCTCCAGCACCACAGCTCAAAGGCGTCAGTTCTCCTTCTATCCTCCCTAGTCATTGTCCAACTCTCTGATGCATAACAAGTGATTGCAAAAACCATGGCCTGTATCAGGCGCACCTTAGTCTCCAGAGAGACACTGTTGCTCTTGAGTATTTTGGAGAGGTCCCTAACCACAGACTTTCCCATCGCAATACGTTTTTTGATTTCCTGGCTACTAGTGCCAAGAGTGTTGACAGTGGAGCCGAGCAAACTGAAGCTGTGAACAATCTCAATCTCTTCGCCATCCATCCTGATGCTACCAATTGGTCCAGTGGTGTGAATTTTTGTCTTCTTGACATTGAGCCTCAGTCCATATTGAAGGCTGCAGTCCTTGACCCTCTGCAGTAAGTGCATGAGGTCCTCCTCAGTTTCAGCGAGCAAGGTTGTGTCATCTGCATAACGCAGATTGTTGATAGATCGTCCACCAATCCTAACACCACACCTCTCCTCATAGAGCCCCGCTTCTCGGATAATCTGCTCTGCATACAGGTTGAAAAGGTATGGAGACAGGACACATCCCTGACGTACACCCTTCCCAATTTTGAACCATGCAGGGTTGCCCTGCTCTGTTCTGACGACTGCCTCTTGGTCCAAATATAGGTTTCGCATTAGCACGATTAAATGTTCTGGGATTCCCATTCTTCTCAGAGTCAGCCACAGTTTGTTATGATCCACACAGTCAAATGCCTTTGCATAGTCAATGAAACACAGATAGACATTCTTCTGGTATTCTCTACTTTCAGCTAAGATCCATCTAACATCAGCTACAATATCCCTAGTACCACGACCCCTTCTAAACCCAGCCTGGACTTCTGGCAGTTCTCTGCTGATGTACTGTTCCAGTAGTTTTTGGATAATCTTCAGTAGAATCTTGCTTGCACGTGAAATCAATGATATTGTTCTGTAGTTTCCACACTCAGTTGGGTCACCTTTCTTTGGGATGAGAACAAATATTGACCTCTTCCAGTCAGTTGGCCAAGTAGTTTTATCTTAAAGGTATGCAATTCAAATCCACCCGCTGCTCCATAGAAGCAATCTCCTGCTGTGTGATTTACTGCTGGAGGGTCAGCAATGGTTTGGTTCTGACTTGATGGCACATTATCAACCACCACAATAACAACAATAAATCTATTTTAGTGTTAACTAAATGAGCCATGAAATAGTTATCTCACATTTCTACAACTGCCTTTGCTATGCAAAGAATTAAGTATTTTGAAAAAGACAAACTTTTGAAGGAAATTTATTTTGCACTTTGAGTTAGCACTTTTAGAAAGCCAAACTATTCCTTAATGTGGTCATGCTTGCAACATTAACTCCAATAACAGCCAGGTTATCCTGAGGATGAGACCTGATAGGAGAAGGTAGAGCACACTTAACACTTAATTGACTGGTCACATAAAACTCCAAGGTGTCCAATTAGATCCTATGTGAGTTCGTCTGGTGAACACTTCCTGATGATGGTTTAATCAAACAGGAGAACTGTATAAGCAAACTTCAAAACCTAGGAATCTGACATAAACTGGCTAACTCAGGTCCAGATAAAAACTCCAATGTATTTTAGACTTCATTAGTTTCCCTTTCACCTCATTGCTTTTTATCTTTGGTTGTAGTTTAGTCTTGTGAAATTTTACCTGCTCCTAGTAAATAAGAGTGGAACTCAGAAATGTGGATAGGTTGTACTCCCTCCCTTGTGTAATTTTTCTCAGAACTAATGTTTATGCCAACATCCTGTAAAACTAATTTTGTAATAACATTTATCTGTACCACTTCTGGATATTGGCAGATTAGAAAAACAAGTTATTTGGAAATGTTTATGGCTTTTCAACTGGAATTTCTAGGGTTTCATGACAACCTTGTGACCGATTACACAAAACTCTATAAATGTTGTTGTTATGTGCCATCGTTTGCGACTCTTAGCAAGCCTATGTATGATTGCTCTATTCTGAGCCAATTTCATGGTCTCCAACACACCTGCCCCCATTACACCAGTCAGGGGGTCAATCCAGCTCATCTAGGGTCTATCTCTCTTGTGCTGTCCCTCCACCATTCCAAGCATGATGTACTCCTCCAAGGATTGGTCCTCCTTGCAACATGCCCAAAGAATGTCAGATAAAGCTTCAAAATCCTTGCCTCCAAGGAATAGCCTGGTTTCACCCTCTCCAGGATGAAACTATTTGTCTTCTTAGCAGTCCATGGTATGGTATATTCAGTTCTTTTCTTCAGCACCACAACTCAAAGGCATCAACTCTTCTTCTATCATCCTTAGTCATTGTGCAGTTTTCTGATGCATAGCAAGTAATTGCAACGACCATGGCCTGGATCTGGTGCACGTTAGTCTCTAGAATGACATCATTGCTCTTCAGGACTCTGGAAGGTCCTTGACAGCAGGTTTTCTCAATGCAATTCCTCATTTGATTTCCTGGCTGATTAGACAATTAGAAAATTGCCTAAAAGTTTCAGATTCTTTTTGTATTTAAACAGGCTTTTTATTCTAGCTTGCTTTATCAAATAGTGGTTTTCTTTGCATGCTGCCCAGTTCAAACTGTATTTAATCCTCGGTAAATCTTGCCATTTATGCTTTCACAGAATGCCATATCTGCAGTGTTAAATCAACACTAGCTAACTAAGACAGTGATTTTACATATGTGTCTTTATTTGATTATCACCAACCCTTTTTGTATAAAGACTAGGATGCTAGAAGTGACCTGGGGGATATTCATTACCTAGTATGGTAGAAATGGATGGCTTGAACAAGCAAAAATTTATACTGTCATAGTTTCAGAGGTTGGAAGTGTGAATGCACAGTGCCAGCTCTGTGATAAGGCTTTTTTTCTCCACAGTGTTGAATCCTTTTAACAACTATGGACCTAAGATTTCTTGGAGATCTCAAAAGAAATCTTCCTGTGTTAAGTAGATCCTAAGGCCAATAGGATATGCTCAACTCCAGGATCCTCTTTCTTTCTTTTTTTTAAATTTTTATTATGATTTTAATGGAAGTTTCCAGAAAAATTGGATTTTCATTCATTCTTGATTATACATTTCCTCCCTCCCTCTTCCTTCTCTTTCCTCCAGTTTCCAGTTCACTTTCTTTTTATTTATACTCATTCATTGTTGCACCATTCCCTCCCACCCCCTCCCCTTATCCCTCTCCCAGTCCACTTTGCAATGCACCTCTTATTCTGGACTGTTGCCATACAGATAATGGCTAATTATACAGGATCTTCTCGATGATACTCTTTCTTTCTTTCTGGAGAAAGGTATTTGTCTTCTTTTAACAATTATTTACTTCTTTTTTTCTTTTATTTCTTGTAAGATGCAAAGTGTTGTTAGCCACATACCATAAAAATTCCCTTTACACCAGACCAGGGTTATAACAGGGTTAAGGGTGCAGCATCTCATCCTGATTCCTTTTATAGCAGATTGATTTATCAGATCTTGAGGTATCATTACATAACTGTTACATATACATCATGATATCCAAAACACTGGGAATCATGGTCAGACCAAATACACACATTTAAGGAAGAAATAATTCCAATTTATGGTAAGATATTTCTAGCAACTCTTAGACACTAGGCACAAGGGAGCTAATACATCTTAGGCAGTCACCTTGGCAATACAAAGACATCTCTAATACTTCAATTCCACTTTTAATAATTCATTTTTAACCAAGTTTGGCATCCTACCTTAGTAATGAATATTCTCAAATCTATGTCCAGCTATATATAGCTAAGAGAAGACTAGGTTTTAGAATGCAACTGTTCTCTGAAATTAAGAGATATTGTCTCTTGGTTCACAGAAGTGATACACACAAATCAAACAAATAGCCAACAAGTAAATCTATTTCTGTTACCAATGAGGAGTTTCAAAACTTCATCTAGAGTCAATAGTCTGGAGATCTAGCTGAAAAAAAAATTTTTTTTAAAGCTAAAAACAAAACTGAAGGAGTTAAATGACCAGAAAGGCCAAGAATCTAATTACGTCAATAGGAATGAAATGTTAGAGTGAGGCTTCTGACATTCCACTTAACATTCCAGAAATTTCCCTCTGATCACCTGCCATTTACATATATTTTTTTCTTACCACTGCCATAGGAATTGTTCCCCTGGGGTCTAGAATCCACTCATTGAATTGCTCTTCCAGAGCCTGACTCCGAGTTCTGGCCACCTTGATTTTTATCTTGCTTAGTCTTTCTCTTTGTCCTCGTTTCTGTTTAACAATCTCCTTTATCTTGGATACTCTGAAGAATGTAAACAAACAAACAAACCCCCATAATCTTGAGTTAGGATCATTTGCATTCGATTCAGATGGTTCAGAAGGTAGAACATAAGATATCATACATAGCCTAGCTTTACACCAGACTTTATTTTCTTGATTCAAGCTTGCAGTGAACCTTGGTGAACTCTTTGGTCCAGTACTTAATGAATTTATCATAGGTTGTCTTCTACTATTATTTGTAATTTTACGACAGTAGGCCTACCTATTCCAACTAAGTAAGGTACTTAAGAAATAGTAAGAATATACAACAACTTCCAACCAAGAAAAGCCCTGGACCAGATGGTTTTACAAGTGAATTTTACAAAACATTTAAAGAAGAACTGTTACCAATTCTACATA